ATTGTAAACTTTTTTCAATTTCAAAAGAAAATAGAAAATGTTTGTACCATATTGATTGTGAAATAATTTTTTGTAGCATATTTTCACTTTTTGAATGGTTTGTTCAACATCTGGTTTGTCTTAGAATGAGGGTTTATATTGGTCTCTTGTTGCAAAGAGGGCTATTTTACGACATTTAGGACTCGGTTTTTTTCTTATAGATTTAATTACACAGAAAGTTTGTGAATTTTTTCTTATTGAAATATATGAAAAGAATATTTGAAAATTTTGAAAGCTTTCTTAGAAATTTTCCTTGAAGTGCCTTTCAATTTTCAGTTGCTCTTTAGCATTTGCCGGAGAAATACTGAAACCGTTTTCGATAAGACGAATTTTCAAATTATTATATGTAAAAAAGTTGTAAAGTGATTAATTGAAGTGTTATTTAACAATATTGAAGGATTAACATAAAAGGTAAATATTTAAAAAATTTTTAATGATTTATTTGTACACACAGAAAAGCGAGTGTTGTTTTTGATGCGGGTAAATTTTGGTAGGGTAATTTTAGTGAGGATAAATTTTCTATAATAGAAAATTTACCTTATTTTCGGTGTTAAAATAACACTTCCGAGCTAAAGTTTGATGCAGACACTTTTAACACCGAATTCAGTGTTAAAATAACACTCACTTTTTTCTGATCGAACTCTAAATAATAAATCATGATCGGTATTAAAATGAGACTGTGATATTATTAGTTTAAAATTTTTGTTTTTAGAGCACATAACAAGTGTACTGAAGTTTTGAATAAATTATTATACAAAATTTACTGGAACCATTTATATAATATTTGATTCAAATACTATTTAATTGACTCAAATAAACATTATTTGATTCAAGTAAATTTTTATTTAACAATAGACAAGTAATGAGTTATCCAAGCTGAAAAAGTTCTATAGAATCTCACTAGAATCATTTTATATAAATTCTAGTGAAATTCTATAGAATTTCACAAGAACGATTCTATACAATTTCTACATGAATTCTACTAAATTTTAGTGATTTTTAATGAAACAGAATTTAAATTCGTGAAATAATATTTTTGAACTTTATATTATTGTGTAATTTGAATTTTACATTTGATTTATATAACAAATGTTAGGCAAAAATTGTTTATATCATTTAAATATATATTTAGTAACAGGGCTCGAACTAGTGAAAGTATTTAAAAATGCGGATTTTATGGATCAATTACTGACAAAAATATAACCAATCCGAGTCAAATAAGAGAACATTTTACTTAAAATTATAAATTAAATTTTTTCATAACTACAAAACATAAAGAAATCGATCAGTTCGGGTCTTCGGCTCGGATCGATTTCTTCATGTTTTATAATAATTAAAAATGACATAGTGATAAAATCATTATTTTATATTATAAGAAATTCAGGGTGTCCAGCTACCTTGAAAACCTTGAAAAGTACTTGAATTTTATGACAAAACCTTGAAAAATTAAAATTCTTAAAAGTGAGATTTATTTCCTTGATGTTTTAAGTTGAATTCTCGTCAATATTTCAATTATCTTTATAAATATAAAAATTTTTCGCCGAAATTCAATTATATCAGGGTTCCTACAGAATCTGTAAATCATGGAAAAGGTATGGAATTTTAAATTCGGATTTCTGTAGGAACCGTTATATTCAGGTACTTTAATTGCAAAATACAATTATTTTCATAAATAACAATATTCATCACAAGAATTCAATTATTTTCAAAATTAATTAAATTTTTCTAAAAAATTCAATTATTTTCAAAAAATCAAAAAGAAAATTGTGGTCAACATTTCAATTATCTTTATAAATAAATAACAATAGTCTTCGACAAAGTTCAATTATTTTGTGGAATTTTAATAAAATTCTATTTCATAATTCAATGATTTTATTAAAAGTAATAGTATTCATCACAAGAATTCAAATATTTTAAAAAATTTTAATAAAAATCATGGCAAAATTTCAAATTATTTAAAAAAATTTTTCTTGCTTCGATGGTTTTCAATATTCTATTATTTTAATAAAATTTCCCGAAAGAATTTAATTATTAAACAATAGTTTTTAAAAAATTCCACACAAACTTTCAATTATTTAAAAAAAATATTTTACATTAATTCAATTATTTAAAATTGAATTTGCATAAATTTTTTCGTAACAATCAATTGTTTCAATATTTGGCATTAAATTCTTCGCAGAAATTTAATTATTTTTAAAAGTAATAAAATTCAATTATTTTCAATAATTTCAATAATATTCATTTAATAAAATTCGTTTTAAAATTTGGCATTAAATTCTTCGTAGTAATTCAATTATTTTCAAAAGTAATAAAATTCGATTATTTTCAAAAATTTTAATAAAATTCATTGCAAAATTTCAATTATTTTCAAAAATTTTTCTTAATTCAATATTTTGTATATTAATTATTTTTAATAGAAATTTATAAAAGAATTGAATTATTTAAAAACAATTTTGATTCATGTTTCTTAAATCGATGTTCATATTTCTGATATTTTATCAATAAATTGTATTTAAAGTTATTTATGAATAACTGTTGTATGTAGAAATTATAAAATTGTTTATAAGTACTCTCTAAATGTTAATTAGTAAAAATGTTTACTAATGTGAATTAGTTACTGACTTTTTGCTTTTTAATTAGTAAATTTCACAAAAAAATTAGTAGAAATGATTATTTATTAGTAAAATTTACAAATTCAAAAGAAAAAAGTCAGTCACTAAATCAAATTAGTAATCATTTTTACTAATTCAAATTTAGAGAGTAAGTAAAAATTTACTTGAAATACAATTATTGAGGAAAACTAATAAACAGAACTTACTTTACTACACTCGATTATAAATAACAAATATTTTAAAAATTAGTACCCTAAAAATAGACCTTGAAAAAAATTATTTTGCATCTTGAAAACCTCGAAAAGGCTTTGAATTTTTTTTAAAGAATCGCTGGACACCCTGGAATATTGTACTTTTTCAAAATTATTTCATCATTTCAATTCAGTTATTATTTTTAAAATTTTTCACTAAATTGTTTTTTTAAATAAATTAATTTTCAAAAAAGTTCTTCTACAATTTTCAAAATCAACAATTTCCACAATTTCTACAATCTACAATTTTATGAAATTAATATTTTTCCTAATTAAAGTTTATTAAAATTTACTACAATTCATATAAAAATTATATACGATTTTATATGATGGTATACATTTTTTACATGAATTCTAGTTTTTAGTAAACTTTAATAAAAAAATATGAAATTCTTGAAATAATTTTTTTATACCCAATATATTATATATAATTAAATTTTTAATAGTGTTAAAATATTTAGTAGAATTCATGTAAAAATTTTATAGAATCGTTTTGGTAAAAATTCTATACAATATTCACTATAATTTATATAGAATGATTTTATAGAAATTCTATGCAGTAGGAAAAGATTCATGTCAGTCACAGCAAATGCATAATAAATTTTATTCAATAAAAATTACGTTTAATAGAGTTATGAAATATGTTCAATTCAAACATATTGTTATGGTTGGCTACATATTTTTGAATTAAAAAAATTTTTCTCAGTGTTTACTAAAAAGCATTATTATTTTGGTGAACTATAAGTACTGGTTCAAAGTTGTCAACCAGTACTCTGCCAGTACTGGTGCAATACTGTGCCAATTATCCATTTTCTGTTGGGTAGAAATTTAATTTTATCTGTAACGATTTATATGTATACCTACAAATAAATATTTATATTTACTATATATATATATATATATATATATATATATATATATATATATATATATATATATATATATATATATATATATATATATATAGGGGAGAGTCTCCAGTTGTGAGACGGGTTTTATTTTTGACCCGTAAATTGTAAACGGGTAAACGAAATTGTAAATAAAATAAACCGTTCGTAAGGTAACAGAAATACGCAACTTTTATTAAAAGAAAGTATAGTGTTTCGATAAACTCAAAAAATTTTACGATACATTTTCCGAGCACATCGCTTTTTTCAAAAAAAAAAAAATGTCTCCAGTGGTGAGACACTCATTAAAAATTGCTAAAATTGAATAAGTTTGACATAAAACGTTATGTGTAGTAGAAATAATTAAATATATTAATAATATATATTATTATATACTAAATAATAATATTTATTCGCCAAAATATGACTATCAAATAAACACAATTTAATAGCTTCAACAAGAGCATTCAAATTGATTTCTTCTGAATCAATTGCCTTTTTTCCACTTGACATGCCCAAAAATACTAGAAAAAAAAATCAAAACAACATTTAAATAGTATGCCTGCAAAGTCGTATTTTTTATGCTGCCCAGATGGGTGTTGACACCGTCTCACAACTGGTGATATGCTGTGTCTCACACCCAGAAATTGGCGCTATTTTGAAAAAGGAAAATTAAATTATTTTCAACCGTAGATTGGCACAATGCAATATTGCATCACAAAATATAAGGAAAACACTAAAAGAAAATGCATTACATTTACCTTTTCCAATTAATTAACTTGGAAAAAAAGTACTTTGCATTTTTTGAAAAAACGCTTTTTAGTCGATTATCTCACACAGTGTTGGTATTTAACAAAAACAGTTTGTATATCCGCTTCGGCGTAAACGAAAAAGCTCATATAAAAAGAAATGTTTTTATATAAACCAATCGGCTTTTTAATATTGCATGTTAAAAAAAATTGACTGTCTCACAACTGGAGGTGTCTCACAACTGGAGACTCTCCCCTATATATGTCTTTCAGTATGATGGCGTATACATGTTGTTTCTGCTATCACAGTACCCATGTTTTAACACAACATTTGGATCATCATAAATATCATACAAATTTAAGTAGTAATTTTCACCGTGGATTTAATGGTTGCAAAGAATTCTTTCACACTACATCGTCCATTCGAATGCATCTTATTAGAATGCATAATATATAATTAAAGAAACCGTCTCAATGTCAGAGTTTATGACTCTTATGAACGAGAACTCTAAGTTTATTTGCAACGTTTCGATATCTAAGAAAGAAGTTGATGATTATCGAATTTTGCTTAAACATCTTAAGCAACATATTTCGCATGGCCTATCAATAAAATGCATTTTTCCTAATTGCAAATCTAAGGGGAAATATAGCACTGTAAATTCATTTACCAGCCATTTATCAAAATATCACAGAAAAAGAAGTAACTTTTTAAATAACAATATTAATGATGTCTCTATAGATAGAGATAAAGACATGTCTATACACAATTTAAATGATGCTGAAGAAATGCAATATATGGGTCAACAATTTCCAGTCGTAGATGCAGACTTATCTGAGGCTGTGCGGAATGAATTAGTTTTGCAAGGCACAGCTGAATTATTCCTTAAATTGGAAACATGGCACATGATTCCTGCTAGTACAATTCAATATTTAATAGAAGAATTACAGAACATAGAAAAACAAAATATGGAAAATTCGACGCAAATTATAAAGAAGACTTTATTAAATGAAAACCTGTCAATTTCAAAAATTGAAAAAATAAATAATAGAATTATAGCTGAGAATCCATTACTAATTAATTTCAAAACGTTAAAAACAGATTACAATCGAAAAAGATTCTATCAAGAATATTTTACATATGTCAAGCCAGAACAAAAGTTATTGTGTACATTAAATGGAAAAAATTATTATTTTCACTACGTTCCAATTCGCGAAACCATAAAAGCTATGTTTAAGGATAAATCATTAACCAATATTTCGTTAGCTTCTGAACATGTAAACGATGATATTCTTAGAGGTTTTACAGACGGTAAAGTTTTTCAGTCAAATACATTTTTTAAGAATAATCCTGAATCTATTAAAATTATTTATATCAAGATAGTTTCGAGGATGTGAATCCTTTGGGTTCTGCGAAAGGAAAACATAAATTACTTGCTGTGTATCTTAGTTTAGGTAATCTTCCAGAACATGTTCGGTCTCACATTGATTTTATTCAATTAGTTGCTTTATGTAGGGAAAAACACTTCGACAAAGAAAAAGTCTACGGTACTATTGTAGAAGAGCTTAAAATTATTGAAGAAAAAGGTATAGAAGTGGAATGTAATAAATGGGTCAAGGGTACAATAGTATTTATTGCTGGTGATAAACTTGGAAGTCATGAATTAGGCGGATATTGTACAAATTTTAGTAGTTCAATTTTTTTCTGTAGATATTGTTTAATAGAAAGGAATAACAACAATAAAATAAATGCAGCAAGTGATGAATTAAATAATATTAATTCTGACTTAGAAGAAGGCAATACAGATAATATTGATGACTTATTTGACTCGAGAGAGTCATCTGATAGTGAATCAATTATTACTAATCCAAATGAGTTAAGAGATGGTGAATCTAGTGTTTCTGATTCCAGCGAATTACTTGAATATTTTGAAGAAAGTTTAGAAGAGGAAGAAGAAGAAGATTTAGAGGATCACTATTTTTTTAAAACTTACAAAAAAAGAACCGTCGAAACGTACAGGGAAGCACTAACACATATACCTACAGGAAAAAATTACCAGGGTATAAAGTTTGATTCGATATTCAACAAACTTAAACATTATCATGTTTGCATGCCTGGTCTATGTCCATGTTGTGGTCATGATTTGTTGGAAGGTGTTGTAGCTGTAGATGTTGCAATTTTTACAAGATATTTTGTGGATCAAAAATGGTTTACATACGAAGATCTAAATTACAGAATCGAAACTTTCAAATACTCAACAACAGATCGTAGGGACAAACCAGAAAAATCGAAGGAAAATTGTGTACGACTGTCAGGTTGTGCCTGGCAAAATTGGACTTTTTTAAGACTTTATCCACTCTTAATTGGAGATAAAATACAAAATTTCGATGATGAAGTTTGGCTTTGTATTTTAAATTTATCAGAAATAGTAGAAATAATCTTTGCTCAAGAAATTCATAAAAGTTTTATTGCACATCTGCAGGTCATTATGAATGAATATTTATATTCAAGAATAACTTTATTTCCAAATCATAAGTTATTACCTAAACATCATTTTATTTCTCATTACCCAAAGCTGATCCAGGAATTCGGTCCTCTTCTCCGCGTATGGACATTTCGTTTTGAAAGCAAACATACTTTCTTCAAAAAATGCATTAGAAATCTTAGAAATTTTAAGAATATCACTTTTTCTCTTTCTGAAAAACATGAACTATTCCAAAGTTTATTAAGAAAAGGTGCAGGTTTGCGACAATTACAACGTATTACAGATGAAAGACAGTTACAAACCAATTTATATTGTCCGAATATACAAAAGGCAATTTTTGAAAAAGGTCCAGGTAATAATACGGTGGAATGCAGTTCTGCTGTCATTAAAGGGACTTCTTACAAGAGAGGTGACGTAGTTGTTGTTAGACAGGAGCATTACCAATTTAATACATAATTCGGAAAAATTTGCTTGATATTATTCGACTCTCAGGAGAGAATATCTTTTGTGTTAGAAATGATAGAAACACTTTTTAACCCAAATCTTAGAGTCTACGAATTTCATTTAATTTTAAATTACGAATGCGTATTTGCAGCGGACCTGTTTTCTTATGAGCCACTTCATATTTATTATACAAACAATATTAGGCAGGTCCGTTTAAAGCATGGATTAGTAAAAAAATATTAGAAAATAACACAAAAAGTTTTACTATTTATTTGACCATTTGATGAAGATAGAAATTTCTTCAACTAGTAAGTATGCTTCGTAAAACCAAAAACGAATTACGATCTTTACCATAATTTTTTTATATTTTTGCTTCTCTAACAAAATGATTCTTATTCTAGGAATAAATATGCCTCTTTTCACGATTTTGGATTCAATGAGAAAAAAGAAATTTCTTATATCTGGTGATACAATCAATAATATTATTATAAAAGCATCTGAAAAAATTAATTTGCCTTCCCAAGAGTATAAGGTAATTATTTAATATTATTTATGTTACTTAATCTTTTCATGTGCCTTTATCTAAATCATATTATTTAATTTATCTAATAAATTTTTTAGCTGGTTCTGGAACAAAATGGAGCCATTATGGATGAAGATGAATTTCTGTCTGTCTTGCCTGTTTTAACCGATATTCTAATTCTCGAGAAGGAAGAAGAATGGCAAACAAAAGAAGAAATGCTAAACCAAAATAAATCTCTTACCCATACTGCAGAATATAGTTTTAATGGAGAACATGTAGAAGAACAGATATCAGTTAGGACAGAAGGTAAATATAGAATGATTATATTAAATGTAATAATTATCACAATATTAAATTTTATTTCTATAACATGTAAATGATGTATGTTTTGCTTCCTTTACAGTTCCAAATGTTACTGCTGTTTACGAGAGAAGAAGTCCATTTTCTTTTCCTTGGACTGCATTACCGGATACTATGAAAGAGAAGTTAGAAATGGGAAAAACATTGTCCGATAAAGAGTGTAGAGATCTAAGACAAATTTTAGGCATTCACATGGTGGGAACATTAAAAGATTTTAGAAGAAACACTGTTAGTTCTTTAGTTAACATATTTGTCAACAAATATCCACAAGCCTTAGAAATAATTGATGCTGATGGAGAAAAGTTAGGTGATGGAAGGGACGTTTTTGTAATAAGGCTGTATGACCACATAAACTATAAAAAGCCATCTAACGAAAAAACTGCTAGAAAAAGAAGAGCTGATACAACTATTGATGAGCTCGAAAATAATACTCAAAGTCATATAGAAAATGTTGTACACGATGAGTACGGCTGTGTTGCCTACCAAAGTCCACTGCCCTTTAATGAAACGAAAATGTCACAGGAAGAAAAAAGGTTGGAACTAGTAGAAAAAAGAAAAATTTGGATAAATTTAAATAAAGATGAAACCATTCAAAAAGAAATTGCTTCGTTAATGGACATTACTTACGCTACTCAACGAACAAGCATTATAGATAGAAAGATTATAAGCGAGGTTTTGGAAAAATGGCCTTGTCTACAAGATGTACCATTTTTTGTTCATCATGCGTCAACTTTGTTTGGAAAAAATTCACAAGACGTTTGGAATAATCAAATAGAAAGTAAAGGACTTGATTTATTTCACTTCTTTTAATCTGAAGTGTCGAGAAAATGTCAACAGTCAGAAAAGAGAAAAGAAGTTAGAATGGAAATGAAGAATACTATCAACGAAGCTCTTACTACATGTAAGAATTTGTGCAATGACACACCAAAACTAATAGCCGTATTCGTTTTGCTGCCTCTATATTTTTTGGAATCTGAAAAAGAAATCTTTCTTTTCGTGCCCGTAAGAGCTTTTAAAATATTCATTTTTTACTATTTGCATCAAAAACAATCATCAAAGATTTTATTTTATTATTTTTTAGGATACGTCAAGTACAGAGACAGTGCAATCTTTCGGAGAATCTAAAAGGCCATTGCTTATCATTAAAGGTTTAGTAAACTTTGCATAATCTGTTTGTTATATTAAGAAAGTATGACAATTAGAAAAAAATAAGTAATCGAATTTTTGTTTATTTCAGGAAAATCTGTATTCGACGAAGAAGCTAAATATGAAGTTTTTGTATCAGGGAAAAAGATTATAGAAGCACAAAATACATTACAAGGATTCTTTTGTCTCTTCTTATCTTACTATATATATATGGATATACGTACGGCGAAAATAGTAAAAAGACGTTTGAATTTATACAAAGGTAAATATTTAATTCTACAATAATGTCTAGATTTAAAATTAATTCAAAACTTATATAGGAAAGAAATTTGTCCGCTTATTTGAAATTAATCGATTTAAATCTTTATTAAAATGAGTAAAACTTAAAATTGCAACAAATATTATTAATTTGTTTCATTCTTTCAGAGTCTTTCAGAAAATAAATCCATCTAAAGGACACAAAAGGGGGAAAAATGCAAAAAGAAATTTGCACACTATTAATCCTCAAGTTAAAAAACTAATGGACAGAATAGGATGCCTATTGGGAGAATAAGAATTTAACAACACTCTAATATACAATAGGCGAGAAGCAATTAAATTTTTTTTTATAATTTTAATGTTCAAAACTATATTTTGATGTTATATATTATTATTATCAATGTGTAATTCTAATTTTCGAAAATAAATTTATGAAACTACAATTGAGGTTATTTGTTAAAAACTAATAATTTAAAACTTTGTAACAAAATGTCAAGAAATTACTAAAATAATGTGTAAAAATTAATTTGTCCACACAATTGTACAGGAAAATTTTAACAAACAAAACATCCTCTCTAAATTTGAATGAGTAAAAATGTTTACAAATTTGTATTAGTAAAAATTTTTACTCACTCACATTTAGAGAAAACAGTCTTCAATTTTTTTGTACAAGTACATGGTAAAATTATAATCAAGAATATTAATAATATCACATAATATTTGCTTTTTTGTCATACGATTGTATGGGAAAATTTTAACTTTAATACCTTACATTTTTTATACAAATGTATGAGAAAAATACAATTAAAAATTTAATTTTTACCTTTCATCGTTTGCTTTTCTTCCATACGATTGTATGGAAAAATTATTACTAAAGTACCACACAGTTTCGAATTTTTTTATACACATATATGAGAAAATTACAATCAAGTATATAATTATTACCATTACATGTTTGTCTTTTTCCCATACATTTGTATGGAAAAATTACAATTTATAATATTAATATTACAATTCAGTGTTTGGTATTTTTTCCATACAAATGTATGGAAAAAAATCAAACGCAGTATAGGTTAATTACGTCCAATACATGTATGGAAAAATTACTACAAAAATGTTTTACAGTGTAGCTTTCGCCTCACGAAGTGAGGCCCTTTCAAGAACATATACACGGAGAGAAATTTATAGTAGTGGGTAACATAATTGTGGTTAGGGTGACCATCTTTAATGCTACGTATACAGACAGCTATCTAGATAGTCACCGTTACCATCAATATCATCAGGAAAGTCGTTCGCGAACGCAAAGCATGAGTTAGGAAAGGACAGAGATATATTTGTGTCCTTGTCTATCTCATATGCGTTTCGTTCGCGAATGACCTTCGCGAACTATTGTGCGTTGGACTTAACATCTTGGTAGTACGGGGTAGCATAACTATATTTTTTTTAGCATCTGTGATGGTTGGCAGTAGCATAATGATAGTATCGTGTAACATCATCTTTTTAACATCAAAATCTGACTATCCATTTCTCTCAGTGTAACCCTGAATATTAAACTGTTAGAAAATGCCTGAAAATTCATGCACTTTTAAATTATTTATGTGACTAAATTTTCATTTATTATTGAATGAAAGTTATAATATTCACAAATGCATAAAATTTCATTCACGGATACATGAATTTTAAATTAACTGCACATGAACAATAAGTTCAACGCAAAAATACGTTGAATTTAAGGTATTACTGAATGAAAATTGTTCTACGCAAGTTTCCATTTCGACATTTTTAAAAAAACACTCTACTTGTAAAGAATTTTCGTTTTCCAAAATTAAAAATGACGAATCCATTATCCCAATGGGAAATGCCAGTATAGTGCCGATGTTCACCACTGGCTTAGTACTCAGACGATTGTTCGGCGTAGTCTAGCCGAGCCTCGACAATAGAAAAATTGTTCACAACGCTCTTTGCCAACATTGCTTTTTTGACATAAACTTGAAAAAAATTATAAAAAAAGTTTATAAATGTTAATAAATATAAATTTATTGAAAAAAATTAATATTTTACTTTTCAGTTGTTTATTTTTTATTTTTATTAAATTTAATAATAACAATTTAACATAATTGTCTAATTTTGTAAATAATAAATTATTTAAACAGATTAAAATTATAACCAAAATTTAAACTTTATAATCTCAATAATAATTTGGTTCCTATCAAAATACTTTTTTTTTTTTGCTTATGGACTTTTGAGAAATCTGCCTACAGATACCTTGGATTCCGCACTCTAAGGTTATGTGGGGTTGGTATGATAAAACAAAAAGAAATATAAAAAAGAACAATAAATATATAAAATAGTAAATTTAATAAACTGGCGACCTACTGCCAGCCCGACCCACTAAAACCCGTAACCCTTCTTTTGGAGCCCTTTACCCTCCCTCGGAACTGTCGTAAGACTTTAGCCTTCGAGGGTGGCGCTCCAACTCTGTGGCTGATGCGACTTTGTTCTTTGTCTGCGGTTCTCCTGCGTCAATAGTTAATTTTTTTTTTACTATTTCAAAGTCTAAGCGGAATTTACAGCACAACAATAATAAAAATCAAATTTTTAAAGAAGTGTAAAAAGTCAAATAAAAAAGAAAAAAAAGTAAACACGTATATAATGTTGAAAAGATAAAACTACAAAGACGAATAAAAAACACAAAACAAATTAAAAAATGTATAAGGACAAATAAATCACAAAATAAATTGATAAAAAACAAACAAATTAAAAGCTGTTTAAATCACGCTTTTTGGAGGCCGTCGAGATCCTTCCTCGACATAACCGAGGTTACGAAGTTCTCGACTTGCTCCTTCTAATACTTCTTATTTGCTTTTAGTTCTTGCGAGAGTCTTCTTCGCCTCCTCAAGGGCCGTCCTGAAGACTCGGCATCCTCCGCTGCCTGCAATATGGGTGGTTGACACCTTATTGCCAAACTTTTCCTTGGATAAAAAGCAACTTGGGCTCTTCTTACAGTTGGAGAACCTGTGACCGGCTTCACCGCACTTAAAGCACGCAGCCGATCTGTCCACCTTCAGGCATTTCGCTCCAATATGACCGTAACCCAAGCATTGATGACACCGGACGACCATTACTCTTTTTTTAATTGGGCAACACATAAAACCAACTTTTACGTGTCCCAATTTCTCCACCCTGTTCGCCTCTTCTGGGTTGGTGACTACAACCGCGAGCTTTATCCCTCGGCGGTTGGGTCCCAAGACCGTCACTTTCCTGCATCCTGGCTTTCCTATCGCTTCCGACAACACTTGTTGCACCTCGGCTTCTTGGGTAAGGCAATCCAAAGCACGGATCTCGAGTGTAACTCTTCGATCCAACGACTGCACCTTACCGAAGCTTTCAACCGCTTTGGTGACCTAAGCGGTGAAAGTGCCCTTGTCGGAGCCTCCTCTGATCTAATCAGAAGGTCTCCCTTCTTTGTAGCTTTTGCTGCTGCTATTCTCGTATGGCAGTCGTCCGGATTGACCTCTTTGCGAAGTTTACCCAGAACGTCAGCATACGTCAATCCTTGACCGACTCGGATTAGAACTGCGGATTTTTTTGACCCCATTCTTTCCATTTGAGGAATCTTTGGATCTGGTACTTCCGTTTCCATTGGAGGAGCTTCCTCCTTTTTCTCTTATCGGTTTGGGTTCGAGTCTCCCCTGGACTGTCACCCTCTCGCTTCCGTTTTTGAGCATCTTTTAGGACGCTTTTGAGATTACGCTTATAGTAACGCTCTCTCTATTTTCCTTACGGTCCTTGCGGTTACACTCCGCACCGCTGAGAACGCATGCTAAATCGAAGTCCGACTCATCGGCCGCGACATGCTTTACTTTTGCCTCTTTCAACAGGACTTCGATGGCTCTGAGTCCATCTTTTACCGTCCTGTTGACGTTCTTCTGAATGTCGCAAGACTTTATCATCTTTGCGACCTCCAACTCCATTTTGTCGAGGCAAGTCGCCTCCTCCTTTCTGAGCCGCGAACATATCTCGCGAGTCTCTTCTATCGCCTCGTCGTCTACTTCTGAGTGGATAGCGCTATGTACGGTCTTTCCGCTACTGCAGCTTGACACACTCAGAAGGCTCAACGCGCTTCCCTTTCTTATTCTTCCTCCTTCCACGATGTTCTGTGGATCCAATCTTTCCACGATCACCCGTGGCACTGCAAGAAATTGTGCGCCCCCACAATCCGCGCGCACTTGAGCATCAGTCTTGGGACCGACGGTGAGATTTCCCGTTTCCGGCCTGCTCACATGGGGTACTTTCTTTGAATTTTGTGAATTCATTCTTTCTTGCTGTTTGGTTGCCTTTTAGTAAAAGGCCCCGCCACCACGGCAAGGTCTACCGAACATATCCATGATGCCAGTCGTGTCTGGCAGCGGGACCACTTCTCCCAGCACATCAAAGAAATCAATGATGTTTGGCAGTGGACCCGCTTCTCCCAGCACATCTAAGACATCAGTGATGTTCGGCAGTGGACAACCAGCGGCGGAGTCCTATTAAAATACTATTATACTTATTTCTATGAATAAAAAATTATTAAAAAATTACCACGTAATTTAAGAATTACGTACAATGTTAAATTCAATAAATAAAGTAATTTAATTTAATTATTAAAAATTTAGTTTAATTTATTTTATTTCAATTTATTATTTCTAACGTATCCCTATTTTTTTCTCATCTTTAACTCAATAATTGTATGTCTGAATGATACTGAGATATTAATACTTTACTGTACACATGTGTCGTTAGCATAGTGGTTAGAGCGTTAGTCTGTTAGTCCGTAGGTCGTAGGCTCGATTCCCCTCGTGAGCAATTTTGCTTATTTTCAAAGGTTTGCGATATTTCTAGATTCCAATCGTTATGTACTAAAATATGAAAATCTAATGCACACTTACTGTAATTGTTTATTATTTAATTTTTAAATGTTATAAAGAATTTTTTTTTACTTTATTTACTATATTCATTGTTAGTCTCCATCCTTAATACAATTTCTTCAAGAAGAGAAATATTTTATGAATAATAGCTATTTATTAATATTATTTACCATTTTGTTGTTAAATTATTTATAATTATTAGTTTACGACTAATTAATAACAATACGGCATTTATTGCGGCAATATTCTCAGCCAGCACTGGTCCAGTGATGCGCCAGCGCTGTCTGGCAGCGTAGCTGCCAGTACTGCCAGTGCTAGCGCAGTACTCCGCCAGTTGTAAATTTCCCATTGGGATGGCGGACGACAAAAATTAAAAATTTGATTGACTTGAAGCGTAATACTC